TCCAGACCCCTTCAGCCACTAAGTATTTAAATATTAAAAATCCTTTTTTTTCCACAATGACTAAATATTGCTTTCAGATTGTTAAATGTTTCCAAATATATTTAATCAAAATTAGTTTGGAGTTTTGAAAGTCAATGAATGTAGCAATGATAGAAGATAGTATAAGACATATTAGAGTGGTAATCTGATTTTGATTTCCTGTAAACCTTTCCTGATTTATTTATCAATATATTATCATTGCAATGTCCATGGGCAGTTCCTGAAATAATACAACTAATATATATATATATATATATAACTATATATATATATAGTGGGTTTATTAAATGCTAAAATGAAAGAATTTTACTTCTATGTAGTCTAATTAAAAATTCCAAAGGAAGTCTGTGATGCTTTTAAAATGAAGCTTTAGCTCCATGTAGAAACATTGCTGATGTACAAACAGGCTTCACTTTCTATCAAACTCAGTGTTAACATTCTTCAAGCTTTTGTAATATTGGAAAATCTGCAAGATGAAGACTTCCATGTATTGTGGGTAAAGACTTGTGTGAACAGGCTTGTGTGACTGTGTTATAAGAACTGTAAAAATTCATAAATTGAAGTTTTACCACATGCCTTGCAGACTGATCTAAATCAGCATACAGATCTAAACTGCAGAGAAGACCCTTTAACCACTGGGTTTTTTTGCCCATACATAGGAAACAACCAACTGATAGATGAATGACTAAGCAAACTTTTCCTTATTTATGCACATATAAAATTGAATTTCTAAGGCCCCTGACAACCACAGGACTCAGTGGTTTAAGTCTACAATGTCTATTCTGAGAATTCTAACAAAAACAATAGCAGTTTTCTACTTATTTAATGCATCCTTTCAATGAGTTCATCATTCTGCACAATAAATGGAAGACTGAGTGTCTACCATGCATATATATATATCTATATATCTGAAGTAACTCAGAGCACCATTTGCTAACCAGATTACAGTAGGAGACCAGAAGGCCAATTTGTGACAATGCAGTGCACGTTAAAAATAGCTCCAGACATCAGTATTGACACTGCTGAACTGCAGCTCAGTGACTGCACTGTACAAACAGAAGCTGGCCTGTGTGAAGCAGTTTGAAGCTTTGGAGCTGTAACTCTGAACTGTGTTAGTGCTACCGAGTTGACAGGAAGTGGTGATTCAGCTCCTTGGAGGGAAGTTGCAGTCACTGGCCCCTTTTGCTTATACAAAAGAAAAATACCAATATTTCTCTTTTTACGTAAAGCTTGTACACATGCAATGTCTGACCCTGACACTTTCATCAAAATAAATTTCATATACTCTGTATTTTTCCACAGATGTTTTGCAGCCCATGTAATCATTTTAAATGCTTATCTCTTCTCCGTGTGCCCAAAGGCCATACATATATATGTCACCTTGAACCATGCAGAGTCAGTAAGAGATGCTGACTATCCCCCATCCATATGCTGTTTGTATTTAGAAGTATTCTGGAGGAAGATAATTGTAGGTGAACTATGCAAGATCTACTCTAGGGTTTTGTTAAGATATGTAGTACCTGTGTTATGGCTTGCTGTTACCCAACAGCCAAGCACAGGCTGGTCTTTGTTGTAATAAAAATGAGGTCACCGGGCTCTCCAAAGCAAACTTTGTCAGGAGGAAGCCTATGGCTAACAGCTGAGTGACAGCTGGCCATGAGCAAAGTGAAAGCTTGCACCAAGGCTGTTATATGACTTTAGAAAAAAGGATTTATGATCTGAAATTACCCAACTGCTTTGGAAGTGCTTAAACTGTAGTGTTTGTGTACATAAGTACTTTCTTAATTGATGGTCACCCAGACAAATCTGAGACTATAGATCATATACAGCACTCTCCTTGCCTATGAAATATCTTTTTTGGTTTTGGGGGTTTTTTTGGGTGCTTGTCTCTGTTCTCAAGTATTAAATTCAGTCTTCTCAGTAATGTGTACTTTAGTTAAATGCAGGGAGCATCTAAAGATGCCTGAAAATCACATTAAAAATAAATTACAAGTTACCTCAAGTAAAGCATTTAAGATTGCATTTAATTTAAAAGATTCTGCATTCATATAAAAATAAGAAAATGTTAGATGTTGGAAAGGCATTGAAATATCAGAAGTACAAGGTTCTGAGACAGATAAACTTCATGGAGAACTGATACTCGTAATAGAATAGTTCCAAAGATTTTGTGCACATAATGTTTATACTTAATACGTGAGGGTTTTTTAAGTTGCTAGTGACAACTGGCATAGTCAATTTGTCTTTAAATGAAAAATCATATCCTGCTGACTAAAATTTTACTTCAAATACTGTTCAGAACTGACATATCTTTCGATATTTGAAAACAAACATTCAACACAGATGTGTCATACTAAGTGCCAGATAGATACAATCAGGAATGTACCTTGTTTTTCTAGTAAATGCAATACTTGTGAAAGATTCTAGAGTGGTTTTGTAGGCTGATATATTTTAGACATTAGGGTTACTGTAGTGCAAGTTTATTTCTTTGCACTACCTGTCTTGCTAGTCGAGGGACCATCAGGAGGGCTCAGCGAGCAGCTTAATCTCTTTATTTGTTTGTTCTTGCTTTGCCCCATGAAATAGTATCAAATGAATTGAGAACTGGTTAAATGGCCCATCTCAGACGGTCGTAGTCAGTGGCACACGGTCTAGCTGGAGGCCTGGCACTAGTGGTGTCTCCCAAGGTTCAATGCAGGGCCCAGTATTATTTAACTTATTGACAGTTAGGTTGACTTATTCATCAATGACTTGGATAGATGCCTCCTCAGCAAGTTCACTGATGACACAAAGCTGGGAGGAATTACCAATACTGCAGAGTGCTGTGCAGCCATTCAGAAAAGCCTTGACAGGTTGGAGATAAAGAGGTAGGCAGAGAAGGACCATTTGATGTTCAACAAGAACAAATGCAAGATCCTACACCTGGGGAAGAATAACCTCAGGCACTGAGACAGCTGGGGGCCAACTTGCTGGAAAGTGGCTCTGCATAGAAGAACTTGGGGGTCCTGGTGCACAGCAAACTGTCCATGAGCCAGCAGTGAGCCCTTGTGGCCAAGATGACAATAAGATTCTGGGGTGCACTAGGAAAAGCATTGCTAGCAAGTCAAGGGAAGTGATTCTGCCCCTTGACTCAGCCCTGGTGAGGCACATCTGGAGTGCTGTGTCCAATTCTGGGCTCCTCAGCACAAGAGAGACACGGACCTCCTGGAGCAGGTGTGGCAGAGGCTGCAAAGATGATGCAGGGACTGAAGCATCTCTCTTCCGAGCAAGGCTGAGGGAGCTGGGCCTGCTCAGCCTCAGGAAGAGATGACTCAGAGGGGACTTCACCAATGTACACGAGTCTCTGCAGGGAGGGCTCTGAGCAAGGACCAGGCTGTGCTCGGTGGTGCTGAGCAATAGCACAAGAGGCAATGGGCAGAAACCGATACCCAGGAAATTCCACATGAACAGGAGCAAGAACTTTACTGTGCAGGAGACCATGCACTGGAATAGATTGCCCAGAGAGCATGTGGAGTCTCCCTCATTGGAGATATTCCAGAAGCATCCAGATGCAATTCTGGGATGAGCCTGCTAGAGCAGGGAGGTGGGACCAGATGAGCTGCTGTGGTGCCTTCCAACCATATTCATTCCGAGACTCTGTGAATGAATTTACCTATCGAAAATGCTTTGCAAACAATCCTTATTATAAGGATACTTTTAATTTCCTTACTCTCTGTATGTAAGAGAGCACTCTCTTCATTTCCTTCTACTCTCTACCTGCACACTAAATGGCCATCAAAAGAAGAAAGTTAAGGACATGCTTTAGAGGTTCTAGTATGATATTCTTTCAGCCATGAAAACCAATATATTACATGTAACAGTTACAGTAAAATCAGCTACTTGTGTGCAGGCAAGCTTGTCTTATTGTGAATATCTGCTAATCATGCTTATGGTTGTGGGAAGAAATAGCATCAAGCTAACTGTACAAATTATGATACATTTGGGTTTTTTTTTTTTTAACAGGACCTGGGAGTTGCCTTTAAAGATCATGAACATGTTTAGTAATTTATCTGAGGGAAATTTCACTCATGTTGCTAATTCCAGAGATAGTCTGAGAATGCCTTAAAATGAAGAAAAAGTGCAGTATTTTCTTCTGTGCCATCACCTGCTCTGTTGGTCCCTCCTCTGTGACCTTGGTGCAATCTGTTAAACAATACTAGTACTTAATGTGAGAACACCACAATTTGTAATATGGACAATGTTTGGAGCACAAGGAGCAAGTGGCAGAAGACCTCTTACTTTGATGGCACTTCACCGGTGTCTTGCTGCATCTGCTGATCTCCTCAGTATTTACTACCAGCACGCTCAGTGAAACACCAAGTCATCATTTGTGCTTGGATTATAGCAAAGCTTATTTGCCTGTTACTTACAGAAGGCAGAAAAGAAACACCTCAAGATATACTGAAAATAGAACCTTGTGGCCAACTCTGCCTGGAGCTTCTTTTGTCAGAGCAGCTGGAATGGTTTTAATTGTAGTTCATATAATCGTCATTGCAATTGACTACTGCCTCTTCTGCAGAGAAGAAAAACATGATGGCCATTCAAAATATCAAAAATAAAAACCCCAGAAAAACTACCATTATTCATGGACTGCAACTGAGTTTGCACCTTCTGCTACTTCTGATAACAGCTGTTGGAAGACATCATGAAGACACTATTTTACAGCCCTTCTTACTTTGTTATTTGCACTATGTTTTAACCCTGTGGTTTATGGTTGATGAAACAAAGAGCTGCAAACCAAGCTATTCAAGAGGCAAAGACTTGGTGCAAATACTTACCACATGGCAAACTTTAATGACACAGCAGCTATTTCGTTTGCTGAGTTAGGTGAGTGATCTTACATGTTAAGTTCTAACTTTCCACCTTGTAAGAAATTATAATCATCAGCACTGTAAAATAAAGAAGAAAGTCTTGGATATTCCTGCACAAAGGATTTTTATGACACTGACTGGAACTTAAGGGAAGTTGAACTGCTTCACTCCTTTAACAATTTTCATATCCTTGTTATTATGACCCTACTACTATGAAGTTCGCTATGAAACAAGATCAAGCAGACGACTTGGCATGTGAGAATGCTGCAGGTTTGCCAAATGAAATCTAAACCAGGATTTATTTTAAAGGAAATGAAAACCTACTTTCACTGGCAGTAAAAGTTATAAAGAATCTATATGAAGGTAACTATTGTTAGATAGGGAAGTAACAGCAGTAAAGTAAGTTCCGCTTAAGAGTCTTCCCAAATGCAAAATCAACTTGCAGAATCAAGTTTTAGTGAACTACCCTTTTATGGTGAATCTGTCCCTTTTACAGTTGAATTCTGAAATACATCAAAAACCAGAAACACAAGTTCTTTGTGTTTATGTATTTAAAGCAGTGAGTTCTTGATCTAACAATTCTGATACATTGTTCTTGTACTAAAATTGCTGTACTTGAGGAAAGGACATGCATTTTTTTTCACCTCTTGCTTCCTTACACTCACTCTGGAAGGTCTAGAGGTTGCCTTTTGAAGTAAGGTAAAGCTAATTAAATCCTTGGGAATTTATTTTGAGAGAGGCTATCTAGACATATAAATCTAAAAATCTAGAGTAATTTTTAATTGAAAATTTTTCCAGCATTGTCGACTCCAAGAGGTCATCCATAAGTACATACACCAGAAAATGAATTGTCAGCTTTTAAATTATTATTAAACTAAAGGAAAGCAGATCTGGTGTTGGCTTTCCTTTTAATGTTTAACTTTACAGGGTGTGTTTGCTTTTATCTGTGAAGTAAAAATTATTTTTAAATAAATGCTAATACACTTCTTACTAATAGGATTCCCCAAATCCTATTGTTATGAATGATGTTCTATTTGTCCAATTTATCAGACAACAAGATTAAATTTAGCAGGAATTTTTTTTCAATAGTAGCAATTGTACATAAATCAATACAAGCAAAGTATATTAGATACATATATTTGAGTATATACAAAATTTGGCAGTAAGTAATTTAGTATAATTGAGGTTGGTATAAAGCATAAGCAAAACCGACCGGGGGTACGGGGAGGGGCTCGCCCTTCCTCACATACCAAACAATCAAGCCAGAAATCCCACTTATATACTATATGCTAATAGATATTAATACAGAATTTTCTGGAAAGCTCCTCCTAGTTTCTGTTCCTAAAGTCTACGTCACTATGTTGTGTTGCACATGCTCTGTTAGCAGTTAGGGGTCTCTCATCCCTTTGAGGGTCTTATTTCCGATGAAGGCTCTTTGTCTTCATCAGTGTCCGCTGTGTAACCTCACAGGTAGCACAAGCGCACTGAGCGTGGGGTTCTGTAGCTCAGCATATGTTCCCACAATAAAACCTTATTCAAGTTCCATGCCTGGAATCATCCCAATTTGGTCCATTCCAAGGTCAAAACTTTTTATTTCTAGATGCTGCTTATCAAACCTCATTCTTCTGCTCCTCCCGCCTAACATCTGGAGGATTCCAGATGCTGCTTTGTCTCACCATTTCCTTTTTTGCTTTGTAACAATTATTTTCTATTGATATGAGTACAATTGTGCTTATATAGTTACAATTTAGTTCGCACGAATCCCATTTATCACACTATCCCATAATGCTGTGATGAGGAAAAAGGTTGCATTGTACTTTAGGGTAAAATTTCAGTAATTGCTGTGTTACTGAACCATTCACTACATATTGATTTAAATTACACATATAAATTATGCATTCAAATTTGAAAGCAGTGACTTTGTGTACATGGTCTTACTTTTGCAGATCTAACAAGCAGATGAAAAAGGAGTAAAGACCTGCTTATTTAGCAGTGAGTTTACATAAGCTAATGACATCCCTCTTTGTAACCTGAAGTACAAAAAAAATGAGGAAGTATGAGCGAGCCTAACCACTAGCCAATTTCTTCTGTGGTCAGGCAGCAGATAAGCTGTTTTCAGCTTGCCCTTTATTTTAGCTTATTACTGTCGTGATAAGTACAGCACAGTGTGCACAGAGACTGAAAACTAAAGCCAGCTGGTAATGAGTTCCACTTTGCAATGAGCCCTGAATTTTAGGTATGATGCGGGGGGAAAAGTTTCCTGCGTCGCAGTATAGCATAGAGAATGATATGCAGGTAACGATGTGGTAAACAAGCAGCCTGAGGTTTGTGTGCGAGCTGAGCCCTGCGCGGCCGCTGCTGCTGCGCGGAGCCCCCCGGCCCCGACCCCGATCCCGGCCCTGGCCCGGCCGCCCTGCGCAGGCACCGCGGGGCCGGGGCTGGGCTGCTCGGCCCGGCCTTTCCGCCCGCGCCGGCACCGCCTTGCTCCAGCGCTTCTTTAAACCGAGAGCTCCGTGACGAAGACGTCACAGGATGTCAGAAACAACACAGGATGTCTGATCTGTACATTCACAACTCCTGAACGGGTCTTCCAGAAATGCACACATTTCAACATCACTGAATTGCTATATAAAAATATGAAAACAAGTTATATAATATCATAGTTCCATATTAGCAACGGAACCTAAAAATTATTCCAAACAAATACTGGAAAATAAAACAACTTTTAATTATTAATATCTTTTTCACTATAAGTAATTTTAAATCTTGCTGCTTTTCTTATTTTACCCTGTTATTCCTAGTGTTGGATCAGAGCAGGGGAGACTAGAAGAGTCCTGCTATAGGGAGGTGGGGAAAGTCCAAACTGACAGGTGGAAAAAGGTGCTGTCTGTGTGAAGACTGGAGTAGCATGGCCTGTTCTGGGTATCGCTTAACTGTATTGCAAATACAGGACCAGATTTAGAATAACCACAAACTGAAACGTGAATAGTGGTGGAAACAGTCATCTCTAGAGAATTTTGGTAACACAAGTTGAGTGATCGATGGAGTCTCTTTTCTGAATGTCTTGTTCACAAGCACTTGTTGTCCTGGCAAAAAGCCCTAGGTCCTGGATATAAGGAAGAAATTCACAGTTTTTCCTTTCTATATCTTCTTCGGGGTTACAGCCCCAGGAGCAGATGGTCTTAAGTTCAGTCACTAATGCAGATTTATGGTGGCTGTTATGACAACAGTAATTTTGGTATCTTTTAAAGGCAGAGTTTGCAGTTAAATTAAATCCCAGTTGATAAACCTTTAGATAATACCAGATTTTATGCAGTTTAATTATAGTAAGATGATTGTAGAACACAAGCTAAGGCAACCATAGACCTTCTCAAATAAATATGCTCAGCATGTTATATTTAACAAGACACTAAACATTGCAGAATCATCAAATCCTTTTCTCCAATAGAGCTCCTCCTTATAAAAGTAAGAAGTAATGCCAGTAGAATATTTGTCAAGTAGGCAAAAGCTAATGAGGGATGTAGCTAATTTCTGACGTCCTCATCCCTTATGAGACCTCTAAAAAGCTCTTAAGCTACTTTTGCTATGTTGTGCTTTTATGTTTTAAATGCATAACACAAAATACACTATTTTTTCCCTGCTCTTCCTTTGCATTTATAAAATGGACACTGGTCCATTTTATGGTGGGAGAGAGCCTCAAAGAGCAGCAGCAACCAACCTGCTCACCCACAGTGAGTAACCACAGGCTAAAAATGGCTGAGAACTGCATGCTGTGTAGAAAAGACACAAAGAAATCAACTGTCCTTGCGGTGATCCTTCTCCCTTCAGTGGATTATGATTGGTATTGCTCATTAATTTGTATATTCACCACTGTTAATGGAGACAATATTTTCTGATAATTTATACAGAAGATTTCAGTGGTGACAACTGTTGGTGGTTATCATTTCAGAGAATGTAGACAGAAACACCTTGGAGTGTATCTTCATGGTTGCCTTCTGTGGTGGTGCATCCTTCCCCCCACTCCTTAGGCCACACTATCATTTCAGGAACACACATTAAGCCTCAGCCTTGATGAACAGCACCTGGACTAAGCTACTCGAGCTTATCAGAAACTCTGTCATCTCCTGTTTCAAAGAATAACCTTGGAAAATTAATTTTCAGGCCTGAATATCAACTTGAGTGGAACATTTTTACTATCAAACATTCAAAGAAAGTTACTGACCCTAACTGTGGACAAGATGAAAAATTACTATGACTAAAACCAACTCTTCTGCAATCCTATAAACAGTGGTCCTAAGTGAGACCCTTTGAGCTGTCCTGGACCACAGCAGACTGTGCCCACCCTCTGCCCCGGAGTGGGACATGATTGGAGCAGGTAAACTCTCAAGTTTGCTATACTTGGAGTACCTCTGCCAAACACTGCCAACATACCAATGGACCACTCATTTGTGACACCTTCATGACAGATGTTCTATAGTTCTGCAAAGCTTTTCAACACTTTCCAGGAAGGTCTCTCAGGCAACGTGGTTCTGCCCACTTGTATAGATAGGTTGGGATATTTTACACATGTGGATTGAAAACAGTGATTGGACCTAAATAGAGATTACACACCAGTTTAATAGGGCAGCAGATAAATTCTTTTCCACAGGAGCTGATATATGCCAGCAGAAACTGCAATTGTGATTAGTTTTCCAAATTTTTTATTTTTTTCAGGAGAAAGCATGCTTTTATGTGTATTTTTACCTTTTAGAGTTCCTACTCAGAAGTAAAGGTGGCATCAAGTATCATGAATGTTCTCTCTCAGTGTCTTCAATTCAAAAGGCGATAGGTTTAGATGATACATTCTGTTTTCTATATTTGCAAGCACAGTGAGTGGTCAGGTCTCTGACAGTGAAGCATTGTGCTTTTCAGTGCATTTTTCATTGATAACAAAAATCTTGGAAATCGAGTTATGCTCTTGGTTATATCTGCTCAGCCTGGCTGCCTAGATCTAGAGCCCAGAACCATACTGACTTAATGGAATTTGCAGTGATGTAACAGTTTGAAATTCAGCTTGATAAAAAAATGAAATACATTCTCCATTGAGTAAAGAGAAGTTGGACTTACATTATTGCTTTCCAAAACAGATTTCATCACAGTTAGATGTTTCCAACAAAACTGGTTTGCATATTGCTGGAAAAAGATTGTGTGATCATGGTTTTTTGTATTGTATTTTGTCAGTGTGGTTCAGAACACAAAGGCTATTGTTTAAAAAAACCACGAATATTAATTTGCATTCCACTGCTGAGTTATTACACAGAGTGGGGAAAGAAAAAACAAGCTCTGATTTTAAAAAAAAGAAAAGACATTGTTTCTTTTTCCCT